AACCCCTACTTTCTTTTCTCCTCTCTCCTATTTCCCAACTCTCTCTTTCTCACTCTAGCCGCCGCCACAACCGCCGCAATGTCAAGTTCAATCCTTGAAGACGGCTTCTCCTCCGATCGGCTCTTCAACCAGGGCTACTCCTACACCTACGATGACGTCATCTTCCTTCCTCACTACATCGACTTCCCCACCGACTCCGTCCATTTGGCCACCAGCCTCAGCCGCCGCGTTCCCCTCTCGATCCCCTGCGTCTCGTCCCCCATGGACACCGTCACCGAGGCCCACATGGCCATTTCCATGGCCGCCCTCGGCGGCATCGGCATCATCCACTCCAACACGACGTCGTCTGAGCAAGCCCACATGGTTAAAGCCGTCAAATCCCGGCGCATCCCGGTTCTTTCCAATCCCGTCTTCAAATCCCCAAGCGATCGAATCCAATCCGACGACGTCTTGGACTCTTCCAACCCCTACGTCCTGGTGACTGAGAATGGGAGTCCCAGTTCGAAGCTTTTGGGGTACGTGGCGGGTAGAGATTGGGCGAAATTAGGAGAAAAGGAGGTGAAGATATACGATTATATGGTGAACTGTACGGACTTCACGGTGCCGTGGAGTTACGATTTGGGGCGGATTGGGGAGCACATGGAAGAGAAAAGGCGAGATGTTGGATAGACTTTATGAGCAATCGTTGGTGACTTTAATGTTCCAATAATACTACACTCATCATAATATTAGAATTGATGTTTAATAGAGAAGAGAAGAGGCCATGATTCCCGTGTCGAACTTTCTGAGGAGCCCCTGAATTTTTACTTTTTATTCTTTATAAATAGAGAGAAAGCATGTTATATATGTGATGCACACGTTACACGTCCATATTCTGTTTTTTCAATAGAAGCGATATTTACTAAATTAGACTAAATTAGTTTGATATATGAGGAGGGGATTCGAACTTGGGTGCAAGGGGGTGGGCTTATTGCCACACTATGTTTTTAATTGCAATGATATGTACTCGAGTTTCATTTTGGCCATCTAATTTAGTTTTTAAAATCTAATTTCCTGCAATTGGTTACGTGCCGTTTGGATGAGGGAAAGCAACTCGAAATTTAGCTAAAAGTCGGGAATTTAAGAGGAGAAATTAACAATTCCCTTGTTTTCCAAGTTAAGTGCGGAATTAATTAAATGACATGTGGAAAAAATCGTGGAAATTAGAACATCAAATTCCCGAGTTTAATTTCTATCAAAATAAGCGTCATTTCACAGTTTCCATAGTGCCATTTACAAAATTTGACATACATAAATCCAAACACTAAAATCTTCAATTGCCAGAAATTGAAATGATGGAAATTGAAATTCCGTCATTTTATAATAATTTGGATGTGGTTGGTGGGAATGTGGTGACGGTGAGTCAGGCGCAGAATTTGATTCAGGCTGGTGTTGATGGGTTGAGGGTTGGAATGGGATCTGGCTCCATTTGTACCACACAAGAAGTCTGCGCCGTCGGGCGGGGGCAGGTATAAAAATACTTTCTTTTTTGTTTACTTTTTTGTGTGAATGATGCTTTAGGTTGTGTTATGACTGGTGGTGGTGAAATTAAAATTTTGTAGAATCTGGAGGTGAATGGATTGAAAATTTATGATATTGGTTGTGATTTGTTAAATAGTAAATAACAATATTCAAGGATTTATTTACTCAATGAAAATATACCTACTTGCTATTACATCGTTGGAAATGTAGATCTTAGAAAACAAAGGTTTGACTGTACCTTCTGCAGTGATAACCCTGTAGTTGACTAGTGCAGTGTAATAGTCTGTTGCATAGCATGTAACATTATATAATAACATTTGGAACTTTTTGAAGACTTTGTTTGACAGTTTGTTCCTTTTATGGGTTGCTGATAGAAATACCATTTTATTGCGGAGGGTAAAAATGTAAGTTGCATAACTTTAGGGGCGGATCCGTGATACCTTTTTACCCAAATTTTGACACAAGCTTTAGACTTTTGGATTAGCCCACTAGAATGGATGTGAATGAATTTGACATAGTAATCATACTTTTTATTCATTTTTAAATAAAAGTTATTCCAAAAACTTGATGAACCACACCATATTTCCATATTATTTTGACTGGTAAATATAAAAAATTTCCAATTCTGGACACATTGTCAAGGCTTTGGTCCTTGGGGCTTCAACTGTCATGATGGGAAGCTTCTTAGCTGGAAGCACTGAGGCTCCTGGGGCTTATGAGTATCAGGTATGTCTGGGAGATGACGCATCTTTTATTGCCAGAACAGATATGCTGCTCACACCAGAAAATAAAACTTTACTTTCACACTTCTACCCTGCATGAGTGTTACTTGAATATGTTTTTTGTATTTCATTGAATTATGTTGATGATTTTTTGAGAGTTGAAGGAGGTTAGTACTCAGGTTTACAAAATATTAGAATTATGAATGTGTAAAGAAACTTAGCATGACGCTATGTGTGTCTAAATTTGCCACATATCCTGATTCATTTCTCATCCTTTTTGGACTGCTTCAGTTATAATTGTATAGAATAGTTTTAATTGATTGATGTGTGTTTGGCTTTTCATCGATTTTTAGTGCTTTCACATAATTAGGAATATCATTGGCATGTTCACATGCACTCTCTCTGTGATGATCCTCTAGGTGGAGGTCTGGAAGATGAGTCTAATTGCCCGTGACATTTGCCTGAAGGCACGGTTGTAGGGGGTGGTTTGTCGGGACAAAGAGAATTACGTTGGTTCACTTCTGCAATGACAATAAAAAACTTGATTAATAATAAACAATTGATCAATGTATACGTACATAAACAAAAAAGTTAGGCAAACGCTGAGGTTCCCTTTAATGTGAGGCCTTACTGGCATAGTAATTCAATAATATCTAAACTCTATTAACATATTCTCCTTGCAAAAAGTTACTTCAATTGGAAATCATTAATAAATCTAATTTTAATAAATAAATAAAAATACCCAAATACAGTTTTTCGGTAAAACACTGAAGTTTCATTGAATACGTATACACGCATGCATAGTATGTATATATATATATATTTTTGGAAAAGAGACTAACTGATTTCTGAAAAGTGGGAAACTCTGGCAAACGCTGCATCGGATGAGAACAACAACACTAGGATGAAGAGACTCATCACGTAGTTAGCCCTGGAAACCATTTTTATGATAAGACAGTCTGATAAAAGTTTCGCTCCTCCTTTCCCAATCCCACACCACCTTCCTTCTATTATATATAATACGCCAGTAAACACCACACAAGTTGTAGGAGTACTAGTTTCCACTGATTAGCCTAAAAGATTTGTTTTGAGAGTGCTTTTGAAAGGGCTAAAAGTACTTTTGACACGGTTTACAGAAAAATTTAAAAGAACGTTTGGGTCGTGGAAGCACTTTTTGGAAAAACATTTTTAGTGAGCACAATCCTAAGTACTTTTTTTTATGAACTACTTGGATTTCTTATGGAAAATTTTCAACTTTTTATAATAAAAGTGCTTTTGTTAAAAAAGCATCCCAAATGAGCCCTAAAGCATGATATAACAAGCGCTTTTGTCAAAAACATGTCCCAAACGAACCCTAAAGTCAAGGTCTTTGTGCGTTTCACAACCACCTTCCTTTAGTCAGAAACAAAATATGAACATTGTCAAGCATCCAAGTTGCTAACTATCAATTTCTTCTAACAAAAAATAAAAATAAAATCAATTTCATCAAAATTGTCAAGACATTGACTTTAACTGAGGTGTAGAAAATTCCCCAAATAGTTTAGTCGGGGTAGTCCCAAAGGACTTTGGGAGATCGACATTTTTCGGTGAATTTGAAGTTGAATGGCAATCAACTTTGGCGTCCTATACCCTATGAATTTGGATATCATTAACTGATATTGAATATCTTGATCTTTTCACTGACGAATTAGATGCCCAACTCCATCTAACACGAGGCCTTTAGGGAGCTCACTAGCTTCGGAGGGGATGAGAACTCCGAAGTTAAGCGAGTTGGGGCTAGAGCAATCCCAGGATGGGTGACCCACTGAGAAGTTGCTCATGAGTTTCTAGAAACAAAACCGTGAGGGCGGGAGCCCAAAACGGACAATATCGTGCTACGACGAAGCCGATCCCGAAATGTGACAATATTGTATTTTATTTCGTTAAGTTTTCTATGGTATTTAACATTATTCAACAGCCAAAAACAAAGAATGAACATTGTCAAGCATCCAAGTTATTGCTAACTCTTCTATCAATTTCATCATTAAAATTCAACCACAAAATTCAAACATTGCATTTTATTTCGTTAAGTTTTCTATGGTATTTAACATTATTCAACAGCCAAAAACAAAGAATGAACATTGTCAAGCATCCAAGTTATTGCTAACTCTTCTATCAATTTCATCATTAAATTTCAACCACAAAATTCAAACATTGCATTTATAAGACGATGACTTTAACATAACACCTTACCTCTGAGAAAGAAAAGTAAAAGAGAGGTCTCAAGCCATCTCAACCACATCTTCTCCTCTATTGGCTACATCTTCTATTATTTTGGGTGAGCAACTTGACAACAACATCTTCTCCTCTCCTTTTGTCAACAACAAGTATTATTCTCATTCTATCATTTGCAATATATCTTTAATTATAGTTTTAATTTAAAGTTGAGTATTAGGGTTTAGGGATGAATTATAATTTTGGGATTTTGTTGAAATTAATTAGGGCTTTGATTAGGGATGAAGTATTCTAGGGCTTTAATTTGGGATTTTGTTAAAATTGAGTCTTCTAGGGTTTAATTATGGATGAATTATAATTTTTGGTTTGGTATTGTTGAGATTCTATTATGAGAATTTGTTTGATTTTTTGTTGGTATGTTTGATTAAAATTCTTTCTACATATTATTCATAGGCTATCTTTTATTACATTGGATCACAATCGAAGTCCCAAGAGAACAAAGAATTTGTTGTTTTTATTTTTAGAAAACCTTCTAGCAGTTCTTTATCTACTCCAATAGCAAAATCTTCCTGAGTCTCTCATTGTCGAGCCTTCACTGTTAGCTTTTGTATTTGTTGAACTTTTATTTATGGATAGAGATGCATTTGAGGGTACGTTCATTATGCCCCCCCCC